TGCAGGTTCAGGGGGACGCCCTTCACCCCTTTCTGCGAGGAGAAATCCGTGCTCAGGCAGTTCACCCCGATGAAAACCTGCACAGAGGAGAGGAGCAGGGATTGTGGCTGCTAAAAATTCCTCCTGGTGCCCACCTGAGCCCCTGCCCCACAGCAATTCCAGAATTCCAGAAATCTGACTCAGCCTGGGGGTGGTTTTGTTGATATTTCTGATTTTTTATTTGAACAGGGGACCCTCAGACAGCAAAAGGGAGGAGGGCAATGCTGCAACCTCAGTGATTGCACAAATCCCATAAATATTCATCACATGCTGAGCTCTGATATCAGCAGAAGTGGGAACTTGGGGAGAAAAGCTGAGCACGGCCATAACCCAAATTGGATCTCCAAATTGGATCTCTAAATTCACTGGTGTGACTCCCCTGGAGCCYGGGCACAGATTTGGAAAAGTGAAAAGTTCCTCCTGGTGCCCACCTGAGCCTCTGCCCCACAGCAATTCCAGAATTCCAGAAATCTAACTCAGCCTGTCCAACCCTAAATCCCTCCTGGGGGTGTTGTTGTTGATATTTCTGATTTTCCATTTGAACAGGGGACCCTCAGACAGAAAAAGGGAGGAGGGGAAGGCTGCAGCATCAGCATTTGCACAAATCCCATAAATATTCATCACACCCTGAGCAGCAGAAGTGGAACTTTGGGAGCGAAGCTGAGCATGGCCATAACCCAAATTGGATCTCCAAATTCACTGATCTGACTCCCCTGCAGCCCGGGCACACATTTGGAAAAGTGGAAAGTTCATCCCAGTGCCCACCCGAGCCCCTGCCCCACTGCAATTCCAGAATTCCAGCTCTCTAACTCAGCCTGTCCATGCCAAATCCCTCCTGGGGGTGTTGTTGTTGATATTTCTGATTTTTTATTTGAACAGGGGACCCTCAGACAGCAAAAGGGAGGAGGGCAATGCTGCAACCTCAGTGATTGCACAAATCCCATAAATATTCATCACACCCCGAGCTCTGATATCAGCAGAAGTGGGAACTTGGGGAGCAAAGCTGAGCACGGCCATAACCCAAATTGGATCTCTAAATTCACCAGTGACATTCCCCTGCAGCCTGGGCACACATTTGGAAAAGTGGAAATTCCTCCCAGTGCCCATCCCCACAGCAATTCCAGAATTCCAGCTCTCCAACTCAGCCTGTCYATCTCAAATCCTGCCAGGGGGTGTTGTTGTTGATATTTCTGATTTTTTATTTGAACAGGGGACCCTCAGACAGAAAAAGGGGGTAGGGCAGGGCTGCAGCATCAGCATTTGCACAAATCCCATAAATATTCATCACACCCTGAGCARCATGAGTGGGAACTTTGGGAGCATGGCCATAACCCAAACTGGATCTCCAAATTGCATCTCCAAATTCATTGATGGCATTCTCCTGCAGCCCAGGCACACATTTGCACTGCAGAAACCCCCAGAGCTCCCTCAGCTGAGGATTTCAGCCCTGAAATTGGGGATTTCTTAGGATAGAAAAGCCCCTCTCTATGGGGTGAGGTTTAACTGGGAGGAGAGCAGGAACAGGTGCCGTGGACACCCAAATTCCTGCCCCTCCTGCCCCATCCCTGACCCCTCCTGTCYCTCTCTGAAGTCTCCCCTGTTCCTGCCCCAGGCCAGGGCACAGCAGAGTTTCTGGAAGAGTTAAACCCGGCTTTGCTGAGCCGCCCCCGGGGCTCGCCACATACCTGAAATATTTCCATTTCTGACAGCTCTGCCCTGCAGCCATTTGTTAACCTCTGGGGCTGTAAAACACCCGGGCTGCCTTTGGGCTAAAGAAGGGTTTATTGAGCTCCCAAAGGCCAGCAGGGTTTTCCCAAGCTTCAGAGATTTGGGGTATTTATGCTTTTCTTTTTTGGTTTTTTCTTGGTTATTTAATCTCTTTTTCAATCCCCACTATCAAATGAGAGGCTCAGGAGATGCAGCTGCAATGAACTGCACAGTTCAGGGTGCAAAGGGATATTTTGAGCTCCTTTCCACCCCCCAAAATACTCAGAAGGGCTCTCAGTCTGCATCAAACACCTGCAAAGAGGGCTCTGTGCTCC